TTTTTTTTTTTTTTTGAGACAGAGTCCAAATTGTCGCCCTGGGAAGAATGCCAAGGCGTCACAGCTCATAGCAACCTCAAACTCTTGGGCTCAAGCGATTCTCCTGCCCCAGCGTCCCGAGTAGCTGGGACCACAGGCGTCCACCAAAACGCCTGGCTATTTTTTTGTTGTTATTGTGGAGTTGTCAATGTTGTTTTAGCTGGCCCGGGCCAGGTTCAAAGCCACCAGCCTGTGTATGTGGCAGGTGCCCTGCCCACTGAGCTATGGGCGCTGCCTTAAAAAAAGACCTTTAATTATATGAATAATAGCTTCACAATAAATTACTCCCTTATCACCATTCTTAATGCAAAGTTGTTTAGTGGGTTTAACAAACAGATCTGGGTCATATTTGCCACTCTATGTGGCACCACCTACCCTCTCTCAAATCTAAATTTGATCCAAGCTACACAATTTTTTGACTACTCCTCCATTCTGCCTGGAATAAAAAATGGCTTGGGATGAAAGTATATTAAACCAAGTTAATTGAGAGACTTTCTGCCTAAGGGGGTTTAACTTGGTTCGCATATCTACAAATACTTCTATAAAGGCCATTCTCAGTTACTTAATATACACCTAGACTGTCTTCCTGTGACACTACATATACTACATTCCTAGAAAAATGAACCCTAAATAGAAAACAAAATATCCCTAAAATACTCATTTTGGTTTAAAAGGAAATTATTGTCTTGGTGATAAGACATAAAATGGCAAATAAAAGTACAGTAAACATAAAAATTAACAGTGCTGATTTTTAAAATTATCCATTATTTATTTATATTTAAAATATATCTAAGTTTCTACTAGATTATAGTTAATGTATAAGTTCAGTGGAACTTCAAGCAATCATTATAATTCAACTTTATGGAGAATTAACTTATCTTCTTTTCTGATTCTTGTGCCAATTTCAACTTTTCTGTTAATTCCTTCTGATTTCTGGCATATTGCTCAAATATTGGCTGATAAATATATATTCCTGAAGCAATTCCAAGAATGCTAGCAAAGAGCAGTTGTGGAAGAGTCAATCTTCCAAACATCGTTGAAACAAACACAGCACAAGGTAAAGACGGTTTGGGAAAATCACACTCCACATTCAGGAAACCTCTTCAGATCTGTGTACAAAGCAAAGGGGAAGCAAAGCAGTAATGAGAACAGTAATTCAGATGTTATGTCACTACTTCACACTAGAGTGAACAATATTTTTATAATAATATGCATTACTAAAATAGAAATATAAATACATAGGGAAGGTGGGAAATAGGGTTGGGAAGGGGGTATGACAGCCAAATCCTCTTCTATTACATACTGGTTTTAGACCATCTTTTTAATAGCAAAAGGAGGGGAGAAAGGAAAGCATACTCTTTATACATTTCAAGTCATACTATAAAACACCTACAAGAAACAGCCAAAAAAGTTGATGGTGATTGCCTCTAAGGAATATGATCTGGAAGCAGGAGAAAGGCAGGCAGCGAATCAGTACTTTTCATTAGTCCTGTACTATTCGTGTTTACTCAGCAATACGTGTAATAAAAACAATTTTTTAAAACAGCTAAAGGATTTTATAAGTTCCCTTTGATACTTTGATAAAGTAAAAGTAGATATCAAATACAAATTATCTGTCATTCTTTTTTGACAAAAGTTTAATAGAAATTTGGCTGCCTTTACTTTTAACAATGGAGGAGTGAAGACCCGAGTCGCTTCCAGGAAAATATATTCCTTGCCAACACCTTAGCCTCTGGAGAAACTAGGTAGATGTTTGTGAATGCAAACAGTGAATGAAGCCCAGTAAAGGATTAACATGATTTCTGAATTACAACAAATACTTTTATGGCCTCCTAAACCAGCCCCTGAAGTCACAATATTCATTAGTGGCAAAACCGGTACTAGAATCTAGCTTGCCTTTAATATCCCTGGAATGTAATTTAAACTAACCTGTTTTGGTTCGGTGGCTATTAAGTGATTTCAAGAAAAAAAAAAAAAAAAGAACCACAGGAACCACTTGAGCCTCAGTGTCCATATCGCACCACAGGCTATAACCATCCCTCCACGGCCTACCTCGCTAGGTAGGTATTCGTGAAATCACCCAAAGAGTGAAACGTTATACCAACATTATAATTATCATCACCATTATTAATAACCATTCAGTGGAATGCTGAACAGATGATTTTAACAATTAAATAACCACTCAGTCCCCTCCGACCGTTCTACCCCAGATGACCGTCCCTAACCCCGTCTCCCGCTGCCCAGCAGAGGCGAGAGCGGGCTCCTTACGGCAGGTCGGCCCGGGAACATGGAGGCCACACAGCTAAACACCCACAGGCCCAGAGGGAAAGCGCCAACGAGTCCTCAGCGAAGTTCGGCAGCAGAGGCCACCGGCCCCGCCTAGACCGCGGAGAGCTCTTGGTGGGGTTGGAGCCAGATACTTGCCCTTTCCTGGCTACTTCCGCGTTTGCGAGCGACGGCGGCCCGCAAAGGCCAAACTTAGTGGGTGGCAGAGCAGCGCGCGCTACTGCAGCTTCCTTCCGCCGCAGGAAGGTGGCGGCCGCAGGTTCTCAGCCGAGCACCAAGTAGGTGCGAAATGGAGCGGGAAGGCGGCGGTGGCAGCCTCGCTTTACGCATTCTTCAGAACCGCTCCCACGAGAAGATGAAGCTGCGAAAGAGAAAGTCTACCTTGTACCTCAGCGCTCAGGAGAAGAGCACCGGGCGCCGGGGAGGTGAGTGAGGGGCCGCTCCCTGGAGAGTCTGTCGAAGGAGCACCCTGTATTTCACCATCAGCCAGTTGGTGGCTGAGCTGTATTGCTGGATCGGAAAGGGTCTTGAAAGGCTGTAAACTCAGGATTTACTATAAATTCTAATTTGTGTATGCAACCAAATCCAAAATTTTAAAAAATATTCTGTATTCAGCCTACAGGCTGTCCATTTGTTGGTTAGATCAGGACTTAGGTGTCAGCGAACAAACCAGGGTTTCAATCCTGTTTTGTAATTTACAACTTTTTTACTTTGGTCAAAGCATTTTAGTTTCTGAGCCTCAGTTTCCTCTTATGTAAGATGGGGCTGATAATACTCCATAGCATTGTTTTGAGATTGACACGCATGTAAAGGAATTAACACGGTCCCTCGCGTATATTAAGCATCAATAAGGGATAGTTTAAAATTTACAGAGGACCATTTTATGTACCACTGTTTGATACATATACAAAAGGTTGTGTCCTAAGTTAATACTTTATTAGCTGGTTTCTTTTGTTAGATATGCATATGGTCTTTCTAATTAGCCAAGACCTTAACTCAGACCCTTTTTCAATATTTATCTTAACAGTCTCTTTATAAAATAAGTTGCAAGAAAAAGTAGTTAAACGGGCGGCGCCTGTGGCTCAGTGGGTAGGGTGCCGGCCCCATATACCTAGAGTGGCAGGAGAATCACCTAAGCCCAAGAGCTGGAGGTTGCTGTGAGCTGTGACACTATGGCACTCCACGCAGGGCGACATAGTGAGACTCTGTTTCAAAAAAAGAAAAAGAAAAGAAAAGTTGTTTAAACGAAAGGAGTGGTGTTCACCTAATGGTGTGGAACTTTCCCTTGGTGGGCTTTGAAAGTGGTGTGAAGGGGCCAGAGTTCACTACTGAGCCTTCATAGAGCCTGAGGAAAGGGCCAACCAGAGCAGCAGATTTTAAGTCCTGCAAGTGGAACTGCCAGACTTTTGTGCCACAGTTACCTGCTTTGTTTTGTTTTTCAGATCTTCTTGGAGAAAATATTTATCTGGTGTTGTTTACCATAGCTTTGCGAATATTTAACTGCTTTTTAGTGCAGACAAGTTTTGTTCCGGATGAATATTGGCAGTCTCTTGAAGTTGCACATCACATGGTTTTCAAATATCCTTTGTAGCTTCTTTTTCAGACTGGGAATTGTGTTCATTTTCTATCACAGGGGTCCCTGCCAGTATCTGCAGGTAATACATTCCAAGACCCCCTGTAGATGCAGAAAATCAAGGATAGTACTGAACCCTATATGTACTGTAGGTAGCATATACTATGTCTTTTCCTATACATAAGTACCTATAATAAAGGTTAATTTATAAATTAGACTCAGTAAGAGATTAAGATAAATAATAAAACAATTATAACAATACTATAATAAAAGTTATGTGAATGTGTTATCTGTCTCTCTTTTTCTCCCCCTCCCCTTCTGTGTCTCTCCCAAAATAACTTAATAATTTCAGACAGCAGTTGACCAAGGGCAAAATTGTAGATAAGGGGGACACTATTGCACATACTTTGTTTTAACTAATCAAAGTATATCGTTATTTTATGCTAATATTTTTCTTGATGTTAATGTTCTTGACAGAGCCTTTAACTAGTGTTTATTTCCATAGTGCTTAGTACTTGGAGGATACAGAGGAAGTAAAAAACATATTCTTGCTTTGAAAATATTATGAATTAGTTGGCCAATTGAATTTTTAATACAAATATCCAGTATAAAATGCTGCTTTAGGGCGGCGCCTGTGGCTCAGTGGGTAGGACGCCAACCCCATTTACCAAGAGTGGCGGATTCAAACCTGCCCCGGCCAAAATGCAACAAAAAAATAGCCGGGCGTTGTGGCAGGCGCCCGTAGTCCCAGCTACTCAGGAGGCGGCACTCTACTGGGGGCGATAAAGTGAGACTCTGTCTCTGCAAAAAAAAGGGAAAAAAATGTTGTTTTAAAACTTCATTGTCAAAAAATAAAATGTTTTACATTTAGAAATGAAAATAGGTTTTATTTCAAAACTATTTGAAATTTAGTCCTTAACATTACTAATTATGGTTATTTGACCTGGGAATGGACAGAAAGATTGAGGGGTTACACATACCCCTTAATCTTTGCAAGCATGTACAAGATTCTGCATCTTTTAGGGAAAGACAATGTTCAGTTGCTGGTAAGTTGAAATAAAAGTAACCAATGGTTGTTAATTGATTTATTCCATCCTTTTTGAAAGATTAATGTATATTAACTACATGATATTATTGGTACCACAAAGTTTGTTTTGAAAGGCTACTGGTGGTAACATCCAGCCGTGTCTGGGAAGCCATGGTACTAAAGACATACTGTGAGGTGTGACTCTAAAATATGTGCCAAAACACAAGACTGAGCATGAAAATTTCCTGCTGTGAGGAAACCTATTAGGATGTACAGGTTTTCAAAATGACTGTATTATACTTTGACTTAGAAGTACATTCCCTTCTTAAAGGAATCACTTGAGAACAGTGTTGTGTTTTGTTTTTGTGAGTGGAAGACCAAGTTATATGAGCCTAAAATATACATATAAACACTCAGGACTTAGTGCTGAAATTAAAACTTAAAAAATTAATTTGAAAAAAATTTAATGATATGTTTGATCACTGTATAGTAATTGAGAATCAATAGTTAAGTGTGACTGTAATTCCTAGATTATGAATTGCTGGGGTCAGTTGTTAGGAGAGGATGCAAAGGAGGAATGGATGGTACAGAGGTTTCTCTGGCCTCATTCTTAAGCTCTTTTAAGCTGTCATCAAGTTGGAATCAGATTTTTTGGGCCTTCCCTATTTTCCGTTGGAGATGGCTAATGGCCGAATATTTCAAAGAGAGTTTAAATCCTGAAGTGTTTTTGGAGGCTAGCAAGACACTAAAGTTCTGCGTATTTCTTTTAAGGTGGAGTTGTACCCTTCCTTTTGCAGTGATACTTGATTCCCCATTATTGAGAAATGAGGGTCAGACCAGTGAAACTGATGATTTACATAGGAAGATCATGGGGAAGGAGAATTTACAGCAGTAACAGAGCTTCTCCCATAGATGCATGTAGTATTTAGGAGCTGTGAAGTCACTTTTCTCCTTCCAGAGTTACCTACCAGTTCATAGATTATGCAAGATATCCATAAAGTCCGGAACCACATGCAAGTATATATCATGTCATCAAGGACATTTTGTATCTCAGCAAGTACATTAGATTATGAATGAACAAGTCCTCAAGATAGAAAAATTTCCTATTCTGGCGGGGCACGGTGGCTCACTCCTGTAATCCTAGCACTCTGGGAGGCCGAGACGGGTGGATTGCCTGAGTTCACGAGTTTGAGACCAGCCTGAGCAAAATCAAGACCCCCCTGTCTCTACTAAAAATTGAAAAACTGAGGCAAGAGGATCACTTGAGCCCAAGAGTTGGAGGTTGCTGTAAGCTATGATGCCAGGGCACTCTACCCAAGGTGACAGCTTGAGACCCTGTCTCAAAAAAAAATTTCTTGGGCCGCACCTGTCACTTAGTGGGTAGGGTGCTGGCCACATACACCCTGGCAGGTTCAAACCTGGCCCAGGCCAGCTAAAACAACAATGACAAGTGCAATAACAACAACAAGAATAACCAGGCATTGTGGTGGGTGCCCATATAGTCTCAGCTACTTGGGAGGCTGAGGCAAGAGAATTGCTTAAGCCCAAGAGTTTGAGGTTGCTAAGAGCCGTGACACCACAGCACTCTACCCAGTTTGACACTCTCAAAAAAAAAAAAAAAAAAATTTCCTATTTCACTAAGATCTATCCGCTGCTCTCAACCTATAGCTGATCTACCAGGCCACTTTGTGATACAAAGGAAATCCGTGCCCCCCCAAGCCTCCTTTGTCTTACCTGGAACTTGACTGGGTAGAGAGTCTTAGGATGTAATCAGTCAGTTGTTCCTACTCTCATTTTAAGCATATTTTATCATTTTGAAGCTAGAAGGAGTCAGAGAAGTGAAGTAAATAGACCAAGATCACAGAATGTTAAAAGCATAGTGACAGGCTTGGCACCCATAGGTCAGTGAGTAGGGTGTCAGTCACATACACCAAGGCTGGTGGGTACAAGCCCAGCGCAGGTCTGCCGAACAACAATGATAACTGCAACCAAAAAA